AGAAGTAGAAGTAGAAGAAGTAGAAGTAGAAGAAGAAGAAGTAGAAGTAGAAGAAGTAGAAGTAGAAGAAGAAGAAGTAGAAGTAGAAGAAGTAGAAGTAGAAGAAGAAGAAGTAGAAGTAGAAGTAGAAGAAGTAGAAGTAGAAGAAGTAGAAGTAGAAGTAGAAGAAGAAGAAGTAGAAGCAGAAGAAGAAGAAGAAGAAGAAGAAGTTACAAACAAGTGTGACTGAAAGCATTGAAAATATTAAGAATCTCATCTCATTGTAAAAAAAGTCTATGTAAAAAAAGTCCAATAAAAAGCCTGGATTGTTTCAGAGTTAAATTACGAGCATCGGTCAGTGAAAGACTCAATTTACTGCAGCCACATCCTAAAAATGTACTTTTGATCATTCCCTTTCCCCGCAAGACATTTATAAACCTGCTAATCTTAATCACAGTAATGAAAAGTATTTCTTACCTTAAACGGATCCTCGGGTAAAACAGCCTGAATGTTGTGAGCAGAGAACTGATGCTGAATGAAACTCTAAACATGAAGCGGCTGTGACGAGCACGTGTGGGCGCAATGAAAAAAGTCGCCCACTGTGCTGAGAACTGTGGTTTAAGTCATTAAGTTGTGTAGATATGCATATGACACATCGAGGATTAGAGAGTAAGAGCAAACAATGCACAGAATTCAGACAGACTGCACAGAACTTGGATGAAACAGGAAGTTTTTTTTTTCATATTTTGTTAGCTGAAAATAGACATCTTCTGCAAGCACTTAATACCCAAACCAATGCACTCATTCACTCACTCACTCACTCACTCACTCAGAGTGATTTATCAATATGACCAATCTAACTGACACCATCAGATGAGAACAAAACTTGAGCTGAATTAAACTGGATCTCCCTAAAAAGAGGAAGATAAAAAAATGAAGTTGTTCTATAAAACCACAATCATCCACACACAACTAAATCAGGCTACATGCCTGTTTGAAAAAGGTGAAGCTGTAACACATCAACCACAGCAACAAACCCATCTCCCCATCTGTCTCTACCTGTGTGTCTTCTGGGTCACATGACTAACCAGTCGCACCTGAGATCAGTGTCTGTTCAGTCTAAAGCTCAACCCAAAAACTGCTGCTGTGAACTCTCAGAGCTCCAGATGCTTCAGAGGCTGATCTTACAGTCCTTCATTCAGACACAAGTTCTCCATTTACATAAACACACAATGAAGGTGTTACTAAACAGTTTGTTTACTCTAAACGAACTCTAAAAAATTATGGAACTCAATGAAAATAGCCACCAACGTGAAACCTACTAAGAAATCTTTGCATGTTGTAGATGAACTGGAAAAAGCTAATGAGTTGAATTATTTTTATAAGAGGTTTGACAATCATGCTTTCTCAGTTGAATGTGATATGGTGCTTGATAGTATTGCTATTGATGATACTGATAGGCTAGAGATTGACCCTAAATCTATCAACAAGGTTCTTAAAGTCTATCTAATCTAGTTCATTAAACACATTCATTTACAGCCATTTACACAACAGTAAAAACAAGAAAACACTAAGAATAAAACAAAACATTTATATAAAGTGACCACCTCCATTAGAAATGAAGAATGACACTGAACTCTGATCTGGATTCGGTCGGAGCTCATGAGAGTTTGATCAGACCATCAGTACTGATTATGTTTGTGTCTCCACTGAATGAGTTTCTCCATCGGCTCCAGCCTCCTGATCTTCAGTCTTCATGATGAGAGGTTTTATTTCACGTGATTCTGAGTTCTGGTTCTGGTTTGATCCAGTGGCTGGAGGTTCATCAGATCCTGCTGTGATCTGTGTTCAGAACAGCACATGTGTTTTAAACAGTCTTTCTGCTGTGGGACATCAGTTTAATATGAAGTAAACGGTCTGCTCATATCACGGGTCTCAGACTTTCTCAGGACGCTCACCTGAGGACTCTGGTCCTGCTGTGATCTGCTGTCTGCAGTTTGATGATTCCTCGCTGCATTCTGTGCTCAGGACAAGACATGGATTTAAACACCATTTGCACATGATCTTTATGCTTTTTGACAATTACCAAATATTAACTCAAAAGACTTCAATCTCAAATCAATACAGCTTCAAACATGATACTAACCTGACAAGTCTGCAGACATGTTGTGATTTTGGGAATCACTGTGTGTTCACAGCAAAATGAGAAAAGATATTCAGTGGATTATTTAGAAACTGTTCAAGCTCAGATAATACACACATCAGACTGTAGAATGGCTGATTGTTTCTCCTCTATGCCCCGCCTTTCTGAAACGTGTCGATTTTTACAAAGCTCATCGGTCTGAAAAGCGAGGTGTGCTCTGATTGGCCAGTTATCCAGTGCGTTGTGATTGGCCGAATACCTCAAGCGTGTGACGGAAATGTTACGCCCCTCACCATACTGTGATGATGCCCTGTCCGGCCGGAGCGACGAGACAAAAACATGAAAACCCATTATAAACGAGGCATTCGTTGCATCCAGTGGGGACATAATTATGGATTATAATGACTTATACTGTCTTTTTACGCGTTGCGTTGCATCGCGCCGCGTAAACATATAACCATGTCTGCATTTGTGATCGGAGAAATGACAAACAACAAGCGCTACTCTACACTGCTCAAAACTCGCGTTTGAATCGTCAGTGGCAAATCCTTTAAATATAAAAACGTACTTACAGTCTGTGAGTCAGAACAGCCAGCATTGTAGTCTACTCTCCCAGGATCAGGAAACAAATAAAATCCTCTATAAAATGCGAAGCACGCATCTGAATATTTGGATTAAACTGTTCTGGAACAGTGTTGTAAATACAACTTAACCACTGATTTCTAGTCGTGTCCTCTTTTGGAAGACCAAACAAAGTAGTTTCGCTTTCACAACGAAACACAGCGTCTTCACGACATGGCGGTTGAGTGAGTGA